TCTCTAAAAAACCCTCAGGTATTCCAGACATCCTTATTCATTCTTTCTTGGTTATTAACCCTGAGAAACCTCATGCTCAAGTTTCTCCTTCTAACTCTCCTGTCTCAGGTCTTGAATGGAACGCCTGACATACCCTCAGCCACTGTCGAAGAAAATGACATGGATGAGGATGTAAAGTTGATGCTACATGCCTTGGACATAGTGCTCGAGAACGTCAAATCTACGCTAGTCAAGGTAGACGACGTTCAACAATTGATCCCCTCTAAAAATGATTTAGATGATCGATTTTCCTCTATTCAAGCTGAAGTCTCCAAGAACACCATTGTCGTTGGACCTCCTTTCAAAAGCACACTGAGGACATCAGACTCAACTTGCTCAGCATAGAGAAACCTTGAAGCAAATCTTCCAGATACTTTGGAGACCACTTGTTGCACCTCCAGCTAAACCACCCTTCTTCAACCAAGGTGACCCTTGACTTTGGATCTATTCGTTGAACTAAGCATCCAATAAGTTGGTTCATTCACTGAGATGGAAAATAAGTTTGACGAAATAAGAGCAAGGGCACCTTTGCCTCATGCTGATGATGACAAAGAGGGGGAGATGAACGTACATATAGTTGAAGCTAAAGTGGTGAATCGGGCTGAACTTCCCCTTTTCCTTTTCTCGTTGATCAAATGCCTCAACTCCCCATTTCTTTCTCTCTCTCTCTTCTTCCATTTTTTCCTCTTGTTTTATATATCTAGAACTCCATTAAAACAAATGTTTTTGAACCCCAAGAGTACATTTGCTTTCAAGCTTTCATAGATGGAGTTTTACCCGAGCTTTGTAATTATGTATATGGTGTTAAGAAAAGCACAACAATCTTCCTTCTGAAACCAAATCAAATAACATATCCACCCATTCAATTAATTCGTAATCAAGACACTTATGCTCATCACACTTTTAAAGTTTTCTTGATGTGATCCCCCACCTAAAATCTAAACCTGCAACTCATCCAAAGGCCTAAAAACCAGCTAAAAATCAAAATCAAGAACTGAAACGTCACAAAAACACATTATTGACGGGTTGCTAAAATCAAGATGATGAATTTGAAAGAAAATGGTTAAATGTGAAGAAAATAGGGGTTTAGAGATTTGTGTACTTGAATTTTGCAGAGAGGTGACGGGAGAAATTAGGGTAACTAGAGAAAATTTTGATCCCTCGGAAAGGATGTAACCATCGGACATGGGTTGGGGTCAGCACTCAAGACTAAGATAGAGAAAAAGGAGAGGTGTAATATAATATGATAAAAATATATTTATTTAGTTTTTAATAGGAATTTGAGAAAAAGGATAAAAATACCATAATGCCCCTCAGTTAAAGGACTCAGCTAATGGCCATTAGTCTTAGGGACGAGATTGAAACAACTTGCGAATCACAATGACCACCAGTGTAATACATAAAAACAAAGGATGAAAACCGAAGTTTTCAACAAACCTTAGGAATGAAAAACCTAATTTACTCTTCATGAAGTGATAAAGTTACAATGTTATTATTAGAATAAAATTGAATTTATCGGATTTAAATTTTTTAAATATTCAAATTATATAAAATATTTTATAGAACTTAAATTTATATAATCAAATAATAAAATACATTATAACAAAATCGGGTTTATAGGGCACTCCTAAATTATAAACGTCCTAATAGACCTCTTTATAGGACTTGATTTATAGAACCAAAAAAATAAAGTGTCTTATCTAATGATGTTGTATTAAGTTTATATGACGTTTTTAATGTCGTAATAAATTTTTTAGGACACTTTTAATATAAAGCATCTCATTATCAACTTTATAAGACATTATTTAAAAAAATGTTCTGTAAAAACAAGTGTCTAATAAAAAATTGAGTTTATAAGACAATTTCTCAAAAGTGTCCTATAAAATTGTTAATACGACACTTTGTATTAAAAATATCCTTAAAATCTTGTTAAGACACCCAAAAATGTCATATAAACTTATTACAACGCCTTTAGATAGGACGCTTTATATTTTGGTCCCATAAATTAAGTCATATAAAACGGTCTGTTGGACATTTAGAGATTGAGAGTGTCCTATAAACCCAATTTTGTTGTAGTGACATCATATATAAAAGTGTTATAAAAGATTTATAGAGTAAATATTCACCCGCAAAAACTTTATATTCTTGGATTGCTAAATTTGAGTCTTTTAAACTTTTTAACATGTTTTTTAGTTAATTTTTAAATAAAATGTCGTATTAGCTATTTTATATGATATTTTTTTAGACTTATCCTATAAACTAACTTTATATGAACAGTTTTGTTTATATGGCATTTTCTTAAAGTGTGTTCAATAGAATAGTTAATAATGCACTTCATTATAAAATAGTTTTAAAAAACTTATTAAAACGTGTTATAAATCTATTGTGATACTTTTTGATATGACATTTTATTATTTGATCCTATAGATTTAAGTTTCTACAAAATATTCTATTAAGATGTATAAACATTTTATACCTTTTATAAATCTACTTAATTGTAATATGTTTAGTTATTAATATGTATTTATTTATTTGATAAATTATTTTAAAAGTATATTTTATATTATTTATTGTTATATAAAATAATAAGTTTATGGTATATGAACCTTTAGAAAGTATTGGTAAGAAGAAACCCTACATCGAAATTACAAAAGTGACCCAAAAGATTTTGAGAACCTTCCAAATACATGAAGGGCACAAAAAGGTCTTGAGGAAAAAGTCAAGGCCTAAGCTCGACAATTCACACAAATTAATATTCCATTAGAAACATCCATTGATTGTTAATTAGTTTTATGGTGATCACATTTTCCAATATTATTGGTTTAGACTTCCACAACAAGAAGTAGTTTTGTCTTTTCTTGTTTGTCATCATCTTTAAATAGTTGGGTTCTTTCAAGAAATCTTGAATTTCACAACTTCTTTTATAGAAGTTTGCAATTAGAAGAAATGAAAATGCAACCCAAAATCAATAATGTTGTTTGATTTTGTAAACTGATGAATGTTTGAGTTTGTTTAAACTGTCTATTTTACTCATCAAAAAGTTATAGTGTTGATATTATAGATAAATTTATACAATTTCACATATTTATTTATCATCATTATGAAATTTACATCCGAATTATATAATTAGCATTCATTTAAACAAAAATATGTCATTAACGGTGTTAACACATTTAAATCCTATTACAAATACATCAATTGAGAGAGATGAGGATCCTTTGATAAAGATCAATTAAGGTTAATCGATTGAGAAACGTCGTTGTTGAGGGTTTGGAGAACAATAAGAAGCAAATAAGAGGTTGGTTTACCTCTTATTACCTGCAGATAAGAGGACGATAAAACATAAGTGTCTCTAAAAAATTAGTAAAAACAAACAGTCTAGATGGCCTACATCTTAACGAATCATATATAAGAGGCTAATAAGAGTTTTTTTTTTCAAAAAAAACAAACAAGGCCTAAGACATGGTTTGATAGTAGTAAGTTGAGTTATTTTGTAAACTTTTTTTAAAAGCTTCATTTGGATGGTTATAAACAAGCTTGTGGAGCCTTTTTTGTCAGTTTATTCTAGTTATACCATTGATTATTATTAGGGAAATTTATTAAAATAGTTATTTTTCAGAGTTGGTTTCACCTCCTAGTCATTTTTTCTCCTAGTTTACCAAAATAGTCATAAGTCTGCAAAAACTCACGTCCGCAATTGCAGACCCATCTAAACGACAAATAAATAACACTTTCTACCTCTGTTTGCATAAAGAATTTTTTTCACCAAGTCTGCAAAAAAATGCGGACCTAAGGCTATTTTGGTAAACCTTGTAAAAAAATAGCTTAAACGGTGAAACCAACCGGTAAAAATAATTATTTTAATTAATTTCTTTAGTATTATCTTACCCTTGATGATTAAATAATATTACTTTTTGATTGTGAATCAATACTAATAATCAAATACCAATAATTTAACAATTATTATTTAACATTAAATTATTAATTATTATATAATATTAAATA